CATGACTGCTCCCCCTCCTATGCACATGGTTCTACTGGCCTTCTAGATGACAGTAACAATGATCAATGGCTTACCATGACAGGTCTGGCATGTGGACTGTTATGGGGTGATGGGGGCAGTGATTGGGGGGTGCTGATGGCACCCAGTGCTGGATGTCCTCCTGCAGCACACATAGACGGTCGTGTATGCTGACATGCCTGGATACAATGTAGCAATGCAGCAGTCCCGGTGCTCCTGCTATGACCTCCAGCTCCCGGGAACTAGTTCCTGCTATTTCACGAGCTGGGAATCAGGGACTCCGACCACGTACACACCTCACCCACATCATCGGCTTCGATCCGACCACCACCTACCACGGGGGATCCCTGCGAGCACCATCTACACATAACGAACGGAACACATACCGATCGCTGCACGGACACCCAGGGGTTAAAAGATGTCCCGTTAACCCATCGTCTACCAGAGGGCAGCAATGCTCTGCAATGTGTCAGTCCATGGAAAATGCACAGAGAGATCCATTCATATAATCACACAGATCTCCTTACCTTTCCCATATGTAGACATCTTTGTTGAAGAAGATGATCGTTGGCGAGACTGGTACTAGTGACACTTGTGAGAGGTGTAAATCAATGAGCCAGGGGCAGCAATGTCAGCTCCCAAACAGGGAGGTAAGCAGACAAATTCCTGGACTGTAGAGTAGAGGGGCGGTCTGCTCCCCAGCGAATGTGCTGGCACACGGAAAGTTAGGAGCACGAATTACTTCAACCAGCCGCCTCCACTAGGTGCCCCTTCTCTGTACAACGCCACCTCTTTAGATGCGCTGGGTAGGGGTGAAAGCTCGGCATTTCATCAATGGGGGTGGGCGTGGCCCAGATGCCATGTGATCTCCCCCTTCCCAGAGGAGGCCAGGCTTTTAGTGCACGTACACTCTCCCCCTCCTCTGACAGATGACTAATGTGTTAACCTGTTCACTGCCAGGCATCCAGCCAAGCAAATACGAGGGGCCAGCGCAGGGATCGCTGGCTGTGTACATCATTCCTTCATTACACGGTACATACACCACCTATGCAGTCCCTCTGGACACAGGACACGAAATGGTGCCTGCCCCCCTCCCTCCTACAGAGCGCATCCACACCAACAGCCAACCAGAGTCACACACATGCCATAGCTGGTTTCCTGCACTCAGCCCCAGCAGCAGATCCCAGCACACTCATCCTCTGCTGCATGGCAGCTGTCAGTCCACAAGACGACACATTGACAGGAGAATGGGGAGTCTGATCGGATCATCGGACCAGGAGAAGACACACTGACAGGAGAATGGGGAGTCTGATCGGACGAGGAGAAGACACACTGACAGGAGAATGGGGAGTCTGATCGGACCAGGAGAAGACACACTGACAGGAGAATGGGGAGTCTGATCGGACCAAGAGAAGACACACTGACAGGAGAATGGGGAGTCTGATCGGACCAAGAGAAGACACACTGACAGGAGAATGGGGAGCCTGATCGGACCAGGAGAAGACACACTGAAAGGAGAATGGGGAGCCTGATCGGACCAGGAGAAGACACACTGAAAGGAGAATGGGGAGCCTGATCGGACCAGGAGAAGACACACTGACAGGAGAATGGGGAGTCTGATGAGACCAGGAGAAGACACATTTACAAGACTAACAGCCGAATGGGGAGTCTGACCAGTAGAAGACACTAACAGGAGAATGTGGACACTGATCACACAAAGAAAAGACACATTGACAGGAGGAGAATGGAGAGTGTGATAAGACAAGGTGACACATTGACAGGAATGACTGTGGAATGGAGAGTCTGATCAGGAAAGTAATCAGCTGAGAGATGCAGGAGATTGTATATGGTGTCACACAAGGTTGAAAGAAAGTTTGGACTTGAGCCAGTTAAAGTGGAATTCTTTCAGTCTTAATGCACCCCAACACAGTTTACCAGCGCACCTATGTTGGTGCCAAACTACTTTGGGTTGCGGTGATGCTCTGCATTACAAAAAAATAGTGCATGCCCCTTTCTTGGTGCATTGGAGACTATTCAAATGAATAGGCTGCCTAACCAAACGAAGGTGTTTAAACACAGCTAAAAAGCATGAACCCAGCCCTATAGGCCACTAATACCAGCCCGATGTAGTGTGTTCAATGCACCTTACGTTACGTGCTATAATGCATGTGCGTTGTGTAGCGTAATGTAAATTATTCTACCGCTGCCTAATGGGCACATGTGGAGCTGCCAGATCTGCCGTAGTGATCTGAGTGGCAGAGATGCCAAGGTTAGCACTGACTGGCAGAAATATACTTTGGAGCTTTTCCCTGAATTCCTGTCTATGACCCCACTGGGGAGATTTTGACTCATTTTCCATCTCTGTGAACCAGTGTATGAAATGGAGACTGGGGCTCACATCAGCTTAGGATAGCAACAAAACAATACTTTCATAGAAGTCCTAACCCTTAGCCACCCTACTAAAAAACATGATTTTGTCTTACCCTTATTGGAGATATTTACCATCATTCCCTATTCTAAATGGAAGCGAGGACAAATCTCCAGTAAAAATAGAGACAAAAAAAAAAAAAAACTCCTGATGAAGCTCTAAGGCCCCTTTCACACGGGCTGATCATGGGTTCCCTCCTGATCAGAGCAGCCGCTGTGACATCCGTGTCCGTCCTGATTAAAAGTGAAATGACTGGACCTCACTATGGGGAATCGGATGACAAAGGAAATGTGTCCATTTACATCAGATCATCCCCGATCCAGCGAGCTCAGGTCCGTTGCAATGGAACACTGTTCAGTTTGTTTTTCCGGACTTGGCCGGAGCCAGGGGTAAAAGGATGCATATCTGTTTAGAGCCGACTGCCCATAAACTAGCAATGGGCATCTGAGCGGGTCCTCCTGAAAAAAACTGACAGGGGCCTAACCCTTCCCTGATATATATCATAAAATGTTTGGAGTGGAGCCAGGGCCGGATTTACTCTCCCTGCTGCCCCAAGGCCAGGTTCCGCAATATCCCCCCCGCCCCTTTCCATCAATGGAGAATGGCAACCGGGCGGCAGGGCTAATTTCAATTTTTTATTGTTGTTTATTTTTTTAACTTTTTTATCACTTTTAATTTAATTATTTCTTCGTTTTTTTATAGGAGCGGCAGGGTTACTATTAACCCTGCCGCTCTGCTCACTGCATTGGCTGCCAGTGAGGAGACAGACTAGGCGGCGGAGGACGGAGCGAACAAGGAGAGAGGTAGGTGCAGGGGGGTGGGGAGGGGAGGAGGACAGGCTGCAGACTTTTTACATGTGATCTTGGCGACATCGCCGAGATCACTTGTAAACGAACAATCGGCTTCCCTCACTCTACATTTAGTCCTGCTTGTGCAAAGCAGGACTAAATGTAGAGAGGGCAACTTACCGCCCGGCGCCCGCAACTTCCTCACAAGGACACCGCTGCCGCCCCTCTGCGCCCTGCCGCCCTTCTCCGCGCCCTGCCGCCCCAAGGCCGGGCCTCAGTGGCCTTGAGAAGAATCCGGCCCTGGGTGGAGCTGGTTTGGCCCAACTTCCACCCTTTTTTTTTAAGTAATAGTCTATATAGCCTCCCGTTATCCCTGACTAAAGCTGGCCATACATCTATAGATTATCTGCAGAGTTTCTATGGTCAGATGGAAAAAGTGCAACAGATTCCTCCATCTACACTAAACTGTGTGGATGGAGGAATCCCCCACTGGGCCAAGCTTCAGTATCTTGCTAGTCGGCCCCGCTGGCTGTCAAAATACCTGAATAATCCGATTGGATGCAGGCATTGTTCAGGTACTTTGAGAGCCAGCGGAGCAGACTTATCAAGATACTTGACTTGCTTGGCCCAACAGGAGATTCCTCCATCCACACAGTTTAGTGTAGATGGAGGAATCTGTTGCACTTTTTCCATCTGACCATAAAAAATCTGCAGATAATCTATAGGTGTATGGCCAGCTTAAATCTTCCTTCCTTAGCGCGGCTTTTTTTAGAGCGACCCTGTTGCTACAGCTAAAAATTAAACCAAAGGCAGCCTGCGTAAAATTACTGTTACACCACAGCTATCCAACCCTTCCAGGTGTGCTGCGGATGCAGAAAGCTCGCGTCCAGGGGGGCGATCATCTCTCCGCCTGTCATGGCTTTGTACAGGCTCAGCATCTGCAACTATCCACATGTCGGTCCAGTCCCAGGAATTCTGTGGATTTATGCCGCAGATGGCACAATTTGTGTGAATCAGGTCTAACATTTCTCCTTTCACAGGATGTCAATGGCTTGATGTTTTTTAATGCAGCGACAGGGTCACTTTAACCCAACACTCCTTGAACGTGATACCCCATTTTCTATTTTAGATTCTGATGACTATGGTTGACCTTTAATTGTGTGTGGCACCTCTGGTCAGGCGACACTCTGTCCCTTTACCGGAGAGGCTGGGCTTGGCATGACTTACTGCCTGAGCATCAGTGCAGGTTTATTTTAGGAACTGTCTGCGAGTGACCTCTCTGCCTTCTGACAGTTGCAACATCATACCCTGACCTTGACTAGGACGTGTTACATTGATCATGCACAGCAAGCAAACACATGGCACTGCCAATGATCAGGCCCTGCCAAGCTAAATCTCCATTATGCAAGCATGCGGCTGTGCCCCCTGTGCTGGTGCCAGCACTGTTATGACAGTGCACTGACACTCTGCTACAGCAGCTGTGCCTTACAAGTCCCTACAGTGCCTGCTGGGACTTTTAGTACCACCATGAGCGCACCTTTGACATAATGCAATATTACTTGTACAGACTACAATGTATCTTGTCTACATTGCTACAAATGTGCACACACGGAGAACATGACCAGTGCCAGCGGAGGAAACATGACCAACCCCCTGTTCTTAACATGGACAAGCACATAGAAGCCTGTGAGCCCAACATGGCGTTGCAGGTATGCAGCAGCTCCATTCTACACATGCAGAGGGGAGAGTGAGCCGCTGATACGCACCTGATAAGAGAAGCTATAGCCGGGCCAGGACTCCCTGGACTGACTGCCTGGAGCACTTCCGTCACACTGACATCACACAGTTTACCGCCCCTTACTAGGCTCTGGAAAGTCAGTAAACCACATCTGTCTGCTAAGCAACGTCCATTTTCCCGGAGCTCATTACCTGTGTTTCATTGACTAAATCACATGAAACATGGCGGCCCGCCCAGTTCGGGGAGAACATAGCACTGGAGACTTCTTGTTTACATACAGCCTGTAGAGCGCGTTTTCAGTTGTTATAGTTATCCTATCAAACGTAGGGAAGAGAAGACGCCTCTAGCGCTGACCAATAGAAATGCTCTGTTCATCTTCTAATTGAAGGGTCAAGCTTAGCGCACTGTAGGCTGTAGCAGTGTGATGATGAATTGATTGTGACAAGGCAATCTGGGGATAATGATATTAGCAAAATCTGCAGCTAGAAGTTAACTTCAAACTGCAGATAACTGTCCATGGGCGCCATTGAACCTGTGATTGCCCATGCCCACACTCAGGTGGTGAGATCTCTGTGATTGATCCCATTAAAAAGAACCTGTCACTTAGTCCATACTCAGGTGGTGAGGTCTCTGTGATGGATTCCATTAAAGAGAACCTGACACTTTGTCCATACTCAGGTGGTGAGGTCTCTGTGATGGATTCCATTAAAGAGAACCTGTCACTTAGTCCATACTCAGGTGGTGAGGTCTCTGTGATGGATTCCATTAAAAAGAACCTGTCACTTAGTCCATACTCAGGTGGTGAGGTCTCTGTGATGGATTCCATTAAAGAGAACCTGACACTTTGTCCATACTCAGGTGGTGAGATGTCTGTGATTGATTCCATTAAAGTTCTGGAAAATGTTATACTGCATGTCGTGCTTAGCAGGCAGTGCCGCTTGCCAAACAAGATCATTGCAGTTGTGGTGTGGTATTGCAATGTAAAATCCCCTTTAGGATCAAAGGAAAATAAACAGGCATTCAGGAGATGGCAGTGTCAACTTGCTGTCAACCATGCTCTGAAAAGTGATCCACTGCAGATCACTTTTCAGAGGGCAGTAAAGCCTTAGGCCCCTTTTGCACGGTCTGATGAGGAGGGGATCAGTGCACAGATCCCCTCTTGATCGGAGCGAAAAGGATCGCATGTCACCGCTGTGACATCTGTGTCTGTCCAGTTTTTTCCTCCATCAAAAAAATAAAATTACCGGACCTATGTTGGTCTATGTGAAATCAGATGTAAACGGACCTGTTTCTCCTCACCCCTGATCTTAAACAATCGGGTCATGCTCTGATAGACCTTTCACACAGACATTCTGGTCGGGTCTGTCTGTCCGTTTTTCAGGTGGATCTGATTGGAAGCCCAATGTAAAGGTGCCCACACACCTTGCGATAATCGTACGATAATCACGGGAAATCCCACGATTATCGTAAGGTGCGTGGAAGCCATCGAAGCTCTACTACTGTAAGGTTGCACGACTTTTATCTTACAAACATGTTCGAAACCCCGCCGAGAATCGTATGGTTTTTGGCGGGTGTGTAGCATGTCCGTTCGGCATTGCGGTCATTGCAAGTACGATCTGCCTGTCCAAGATAGACAGATAGTACGTTTTTTTTCATTACCTTGCAACCATCGCAAGACAAAAGTCTTGCAATGGTTGTAAGGTGTGTGCCCAGCCTAGTCTATAGGTAGCTGGATCTATACGCACAGGTGTCTGCTTACATCTGATTACCCCCAGCTCCAGCCAGGTCTGGAAAAACAAATGGAACAGTGTTCCATTTCGCCAGACCTGATCGTGCCGCGACAGATCGGAGATAATCTGATGTAAACAGACACAAGTCCATATACATCCGATTCCCCATAGACCAACATGGGTCCGGTCATTTTCCTCCATTGCAGGATAAAGAAAAAACTGGAAGCACACAGATGTCACAACGGTGAAATATGTTATGATCAGGAGGGGATCCATGATCAGACCACATAAAAGGGGCCTAGCTCTGCCCATACTATGGTGCTGAATTCTCTGCACTTTATTAAGAACCTGTTATTTTGGCCAAACTCAGGTGGTGAGATCTCTGCCCTTGATTCCATTAAAGTGAACCTGTTACTCTGTCCATACTGTGTTGGTGAATCTCTATATGCCAGTCACTGGCATTAAAGTGACCCTGTCCCTATACTAAAGTTCTTCAGGCAAACTGTACCTGTAAGAGAAGACTGTCAGTATTTACCCCTCCTGGCACAGGAAACGCGATGGTCACCATGAACCAGTAAGAGCACCAGGGACCCAGGAGATCAAACCATCCTGAAAGTATTGGTTTCCTATGACTGGAGAAGCATTTGGCAGCAGGAGAGATAGTTCGTTGTAAAAGTAGCAGTGACATCATCACTGTGCTGCACATATCCTTGCAGGAAGCAGAGCTGCGGGAGGGACTCAGCAGGCTCCACCCACTAAAGCCTGCCTGCAGAAAACTATAAGAGGCAGTCACCCTGCACAAGAGAGAAAACAGCAGTGGCTGGTCTTTATTATAGGAAGTTCCTGGGCAGAGGTACATTTTCAAACTGGATTACTGCACAGATCTGGAAGAAATGCACAAAGCACACTTACGGTCACCATACACGTTTAGATTTACCAAAATCTATGTAATATGAGGACCTCTCTACTCTATCAAATCGATTTGCTTTAATCAGGCAGTCATTGATACTACATACCGGTAGTTGTTGATAGATCTAAGGCCCCATTCACACTGAGCGATTTATCGAGCGATTTTTGCAGCGATATTGCTCATATTTCCACATGATATCGCTCTATGTAGCTTCTCCAATCCATTTCAATGAAGCTGTTCACATCTCGTCGCTCAATATCGCTTGTAGCTCATCGCTGTAGCTTGTCGCTCCTACATGACCCTTTTCTCGAGCGATTTTGCTCCTGATTGCATACAGCCCAATAGGAAAAAGTCGCGTGACAAGTCGCTCAATATCGCTCAAATAAAATCGCGCGGAAAATCACGCGATCTCCATGTCGCTCAGTGTGAATGGGGCCTAAAGGAGTGTGTGGTGAGTTTATGGGGTTGATGTATAATCCTTCCTCTCAGACCTTTGCTCCTCAGTGCCATCTACTAGAGTTAATGCTGCGTGAACCGCATTCTCCCAGCTATACATCAGCGATACACATGCCACATGCAACATGCCACATGCCTGCATTTAGAAAATATTTGCTCATCCCGGGAATTCAGCTTCAAGTATAGCGCCAGGGCTGCTGTAAATGTAACCAGTGACTTTGCCAATACTTCCGTAGTGTAGGGTTGCCACCTGTCCAGGATTCACCCGGACAGTTCGGGTTTTGAATGCTGTGTCCGGTTTTCATGGCACCAGGAACCTGGAAACAAGATGTCAGGTAGACGGGGGCAACCAAAATTAAGATAGGGGCTACTGCCCCTTACTGAAAATAGCCTCAACTGTGATATTTACATATTAATGGCTTTTACATATGAATAAGCAATGACTCATTCTCCCCAAAAAATATGTCTGCGTGTCGCTAGAGTGTTCGGGTTTCGCTTGAAGTAAAGGTGGCAACCCTACCGTAGTGTGATCTCTGCTCTTTATTTTCCATGTATGCACACCTGTCACAGACTTTACAGTTAACCTGTGCATTGCCAGCGTAGAGCATTGTCTGCTTTCTTTGCATCCCTTTGCTCTCCCTCTGCTGCATTCATCACTGGCAGCGAAGAGAAAGCTGCAGTATTTTTAATAACGGCGATTATGTGTTTACTGATTGTCTTGGTGCTGTTTAATGGGGTGGAAGCCCTTAGCCTTGTGTAAGAGCCTCTTCTCATCACTCCCTACAGAATGAACGGTATCTTCTTTTGTATGGGACATTAGTGCAATGCATAGAGAGAAAGGACCCTTATGTTATGGAGAATGGAACAGGAGAAGAAAGTGCGGCCCCCCCGGTGGATTTGATCACTCAAAGTTTCAAAGTGGGTAGAAACAGAACCAGGACTTTTCTTTTTCCTTAAATAGCCTGCAGTGCATGCAAAACTAAACCCCATAGAGAACAAAAAAAGTGCATATGAACACACACAAATAAGCGCACTACGGCGCATCAAATGGTTCATCTTCAGAAGAGATAGGGCCCTTCCCTGACGGGACAAGGCACTTGTGTCCACTTGGCCAAAACCAGGCGGACCCATTCCTCATGGCCAGCCACTGAGTACTAGGTTGAACCGCCCTCCTGAAGAAATTCAGGGAAGGGACCTTATGGCCACACACCCTCCCCATACATGTCAGGGCAGAATCTTCCATCCTGTGGAGTGAAACCAGCTCACATATAAAAAGTGAAATGCACGGACAATGTGAGAAAATAAATAAGTGCCAAAGTGCAAGACGATGGCTAGGCCTTGCTGCCCGGTATAACAATAACTCCTGGTTTAAGCCAAAAGGCCTAGCCCAAGAGGTGAGGGGCAACAAAACATGCCTTCCACACAGTAGGGTCCCAAACCCATGGTGCTACTAGAGCACTCCCGGGTCACCACTCCCTTTTCCTTGGTATGCTTGTGCATACAAGACTAACTGTATACAACATTTGTCTAATTGTGTGTATTAATTCAGTTTGCTTGTTAATATTTGGGTACACTAACTAGTCTAGAAAACTAGCACCTATGTGCATATTATTCCTTCAGATGTCTTCAGGATTTCTAAAAGTCCCTGTCTGATGACTCTCTGTCATATCTACTGTAACTCTAAAACGCAGTATGCATCACTGGTATTGGGCTTCAATACACATTGTAGCTCTCCCCTCTGTGTGTAGCAATACATCTCTCTGGCTTTTTGATGCAGTCCCCACTGGAGTATATATTGTCTTTGTAGAGCTACAAGTCCCAGGATGTCCTACTTGTCTTTCTATTTGGTCTGTGTAAAAGTCTAACACGCCTCACTGGGGTTTACCATGTCTCTGAAGAATTACAGGGCCTAAAGTAAAAAGTTCCACAACATTGTTTGGAAGTATAAAACAATGTTATCTTTCTCCAAATCCCCAATGTAATGGAAGTGAGCAAAGGCAGATATGGTTCTTGTCCAGTCTGGGTGGCAACCTTAGCTTCTTCCATAGATACAGTGCTG